CATGTTATTCTCTGACAGCCAGACTATTGTAACAGTTTTCAATTAGGTTCCAACTGTCAAATTTTAAAATTAGGGGGCATGTCCTGTTGATTCTGCAACTCCTTCCCCTTCCTTGAAAAATCCTGAAAGTTACCCTGCAACTGTATGTGGCACTGGTTTGGTGCCTTTAAAAATGCAGATATTCCTGTATAGCGTAAGAAACTAAAACTCCGTCGTTTAATTTTTAAGTATATATCTAAAGTTAAATTGAATAGTAATGCTAAAATTATTTAGTGATGTAATTTGCAATTAAATTTTTTATCGATTCTTACAGTATGAGTTGTCTTCTGTAGTGAGGATTAAGCTGACACAATATGACGGCTGCTTCACTTAGAGTGTAATAGTTTAAAGGTAGCAGTTTATAGTAAGATGCTAGTCATAAGCTCGCATCTCCCTCTCCAGCCATGGTTTTAGCCCCATGTGCGCGAAGTGGAGAAATGTACTGCTTATGGCCACCCCCCAACCCCCAGATTTAAGTCCTTCCCCATCTAACTTGATTGTGAACAAATACCAAAGCTGCATTAGCATTTGATAATTGAACTGACTAAGACGTAGCTTCCCATAGTGAGCTTTCCCATACGAACGAAACAGCTTTTTCTGCATTATGGCCGCATTCCCCTCTCTGTCAGTTTTATGCCCCCGCCCTAATTTTCGCGTGTCTAGTAGGCGGGAACCTCTTCGCTTGTTACGCAGGCTATTTAGGGCGTGAACCCTCTCTTTGACTGGCTTAAGCTATCTGTTATCAAAGTATGATTCCTGCCTTTTTGATTTGTTAAAGAAAGTTCATAAAGTTTTCATTCCACAAATTGAGGCACCATTCTCTGCCTTGTAATTTAGGCAGCGTACACACAACGCTAGATAAATTTGAAAACGCAGCTTTATTTATTTGGTGAGACCTATCGTCTACGCTAATCCGTCACGAAAAAGGAGCTTTTCGAAAACACTACTCAAACCGGAGGAATTTGATAACGCCGACTTTACGTTTTCGTTTGGACGGAAAACATTTTGAAAACGGAGCTTTTTGAAAACGATGTTTTCACGATAATCATGTGATTTCTCTGACCGAGTTTTTCTCAAACACAAATTCAAAATTACCGGTGATTGCTGCGTTTTGTAAATTCCTCCGGCGTAGTGTGGACGTAAAGCATTTGGTGCGTTTTCACAGGAAAACTTAGCTCCGTTTTCCAATTCCTCCTGCGTCGTGTGGACGGAGCCTTACTGCGCCTTTCAATAACATGCGGACTCTAAAATTCAAAGTTCAACCGACAAATGCGTTTTTCGCTATCGTCAATCAAATGTTCGGCGGCTCCTCCCAGCTTCCGATTACTGCCGAGCGCGCGGTAATCAAATCTTTGTGCGCAGTTCAGACAACGAAACAGTGTTCGGCATTAGTAGGAAACTTGGCGGAGCCGCCGCACATTTGATTGACGGTAGCGAAAAACGCATTTGTCGGTTGTGCTTTAAATTTTAGAGTCCACACGTTAATGAAAAGCTCAATAAAGATTGAAGATCCTATGTTAG